TATGGTGACAGGTCTTCAGGAGGGTCCTACAGAGACAATTATGACAGTTACGGTAAGTCTTAGTTCAAAAGGGAACAATGAATATACTGTCATGAAAACGCTCTAAATCGATTGACCTGCAGAAGTCTGGAAATACTGTAAGGCTCAGTTGGACCATATCGCACTCTTGTTCTTGCCCATAAGAACTGTCTATTTGCAACCAGACCTTGGAAATACCTGCCACTTAAAATTCCTAACTTTAATGCATGTGTTAGGACTTGCTTGGATCTAAGGCAAAGCAAGTAGTAAATACATTCCTGAAGCTGGAGAATTAGGCAAAACTCCAAATGCCCTCTAACAAACTTTAATCAAGGGTGGGGGAAGTTCTCTTTAAGTTCTAGCACTAGCCTCTGAAAATAATACAGGGAGTTGAAATGCTGGATCTTGTCTATGCTTCAGTGCCTTTACAATTGTGCCTGCTTCTTGTCCTCAGCTACACACAACGAGTAAAAATCCTTCCTGACTCAAGATCGTCCTTCCAATGGCTGTATTTATAAAGATTTTTGGAGCTTCGCTGAAATCGTTATTGTGTAGTACATCTACTTGTATTTTCACTTTTGTAGTATTATCAGTTCTGATCTTGTCAAACACAGCCTGACAGCTTCTGATATGAGATGGTCTGATTAGACTTTTCTTTAAGAAAGCTCTGTTTCCAAGTGTTTTTAAGCTTTTTTGAAAGCACTACGGATTTTATTTTATTCTCTGATATGAGCCAAGGTGTTTTTTAAAAGTTGTGAAGTTGGGGCCCCAATTCATTTTTTTGAGATAGAAAAGGACCTTTAATTTAATGTTCACTGGAAGCTGAACAAGCTGTGGACTTTTTTTTAAGTGCATTACCTTCGTCTCTTGTAACATTCCTTTAGTGTAGCAAGGTAGGCATGCAGCCTGGGTGTAAATTGGAAGGCAATCCACCTTGATATACTTAAAGAGAAACTTGCTTGTATGTTCAACCTGCATAACGGTATTTTTACTGTATGATGTAAATTACCCAGAAATAGACTCTCAAACTTACCATAAAAAGAGGTTCTTGAAAATGTTTATTTATATTGTCCTTTTTTTACTGGAAGAAATATGCATATTCCATTGATATTGTATTTGAAGTGGTAAAGGATTCTTGTATAAAGTTTTCTTTGGCTTTACGAAGCCTATTAAAAGACAGTCTGAAATGAACTCTGCTCCTGACATTTACATTTCATTGCACAACACAGTCCTTGAAGATCTTGTGAACAAACTTAATATGGATGAGAACTCCAAAGAAGAGAGCCTAGTGATAGAAGTTATTAAAGCAAGGCAGATTCACTGACTACTGGAGATATTATCTTGGCAGTATTCACATGTCAAGATTTAGTTAAGATGTTTCCACATAAGAATAGTCAAATTGTCTAGTGGCAGACTGCTGAAAGTACTTCTATGGAATTGTAATGCCTAACTTGTAATACTTTAATCAGCAAAAATGGAGGGGAAAAAACATCTGGCCAGTTTAGTCACTGAGGACAGTTCAGGATTGTCATGAAAGATAAGCAGACATTGAAATTTGTAGTCTGAATCAGTCTTTTGATAACTGGACTAGATACTGGTTTGACAGTGTTCCAAGGTAGACAAATTGACTTAATTAGCTAGCTTTGTCATTGCCTTACAAGTTCTAAGAATTCTCTGCTAGCGTATGGAAACTGCAGTGTCCTTGGAGAAAAGAAGTGTTGTGCCTCCAACAGAAACCTCTGAGACGAAAGCTGCTTTCTGGGCTAGTTCATATGTGGAAATAGTCCTGTAATTCGAGGTAACTCCTTTTGCTCATGTCCGCATCCTTCCTCTTGTTGAGAGCTCATTTGAAAGTCTAATGTGCCTGTGAAATATTCCTCTGACAGTATTGATCAACTAATAGAATTTTTTTTAAATCCATGCCTATGCAATCTTTGGTTTGTGGCACAACTTCAGTTCCACAGGTCAGAGTTGGGCATACAGTCATGTTTTGCCTAGTAGGTATGGAAGCAAGATGGGAAACAGAATTCCCTGACTTGATTTTTTTTTGTTCATCTATTGACTCTTCCTAGACTCATTAAGTCACTTAATTGTAGCTTTCTTTACCATCTTACTTTGTTGCCATTAACTTTCTCCCATAGCCCACACTGTTCCTAAGCAGCCATGTCAAAGTGGTTAACTGTCTCTGCTTAAGGATCAAATGATATATTGGCTGGTATATCAAAGGCATCAGCCAGCCCTGGAATTTCCCAGACTGTGCTTCTGTGATGTGATAGGGTTCAGCGAATGGCTTGTGAAACCCTTGTATATGATGTCACTTGTTTGGGGAGGTGGGTGGCATTGAAAAATAACATGATTGGATATGGCTAGTAACACACATTTGCTTTACCAGGTTGAAGAGAGGATGGACATTTGAACTGAAAGTGCATTCCTGAGGATTTAATGTGAAAGCAGTACCAACAATCCACTTTCTATGCAGGTACTACAAGTGCATTCCCTTGTAAGAAATTGCTGAAATAAGAGAGCTTTTAGAGAAACTTGATTTTAGGTTTGGCATGTCCCAGAATTACATATGCTAATACTTTGCCTTATGTTAATGTCTTGTAAGAAATGAATGTTGATCACTTTAGGTAGTTCTTGATCAGTGGTTGCAGTCTTAGATGAGAATAAATATACACACCTGGATCTTCTCTGTAAAACTTACTGTCCTGTTTTATTTCAGCAGTGAGCTGCATTGAAGAGGACTGAAAGCTGTTGACTGAGCAGTGGAGTTAGAGCTTTGAGCAGTGTGCAATGCAGATCAAATGAGCAATCTGACTTGTAACAGTTACAACTGATGGAATAAATAATCAGACTGGAAAAATAATCATTTTTTGTAAATGTTATGAATCACTTTTGACAGATAGTCATGGCATGATTTGATACAAATCTTGGGTTAATTTAAAAATTTTAGCACTGTGGAAATCTACCCCCTACTTGTGAAGGTCCAGTTGATCAGTAAGGCTAAACGTTAAGCCCCTATACTGGATTCAAAAAGGCTTATTTATGACATGGGAAATGAAGGCTATTCTTTCTTTAGACTCTGCAGATAACAAAATTGGTATCTGCAAAAATGATCCACAGATACCTGCAGATTTTCAGGGCTCTAGCTATCCTGCTTGCAAGACTCTGTAGTGTTCTATCTTAACAAAATACTTCAAATTTCTGCCATTTTAGAACAGGGTAAAAAAATATGGTCGTTTTACCACTTTGAGCAAATCCAATTTTTAAAAAAACTAGTCACTGAAGCATCACTGGAACCTTACATTTAGGTATAAGAGCAACATTTTCTACCTTTTGTGCATTCACAAATGTTGCTATGACCTTCTCATGGAGCTGTCATTTAAGTTGTCATTTAGCAGTTGAGCTACTGAAGGTGATGCATCACTAGCAAAACCTTTTCTGCCAGGCGTCTAGATCTGCAATATGAAATGGTGTAGTGGGGCAATTACTTGGTACTTATTAGTGGCTTTAAAGAATTCCCCATTACAATGAAAGTGGCATGTTGAGGCACTCTGACACACTCTTAAGTTGCATGCAAGTCTGATGGAGTGCCTAATAGTGAATGCTAGTGGGAATGGGGTAGATTTAGATGACAAGTTAATTACTTAGAAAAGTTAGATGTCTGCAAGTCACCAGGGCCTGATGAAATGCACTCTAGAGTACTCCAGGAGCTGATAGAGGAGGTAGCTGAGCCTTTAGATATCATCTTTGATAAATCATGGAAGACAGGAGAGATTCCAGAAGACTGGAAAAGGGCAAATAGAGTGCCCATTTATAAAAATGAATAAAAACAACCCAGGAAACTACAGACAAGTCAGTTTAACTTCGATGCCTGGAAAGATAATGGAGCAAGTAATTAAGGAATTCGTCCCCAAATATCTGAAAGAAAATAAGGTGAGGGGTAACAGCATGGATTTTAAAGAACAAATCATGTCGAACCAATCTGATAGCTTTATTAGGATAAGTCTTGTGGAGAAGGGGTGGATGTGGCATACCTAGACTTCAGTAAGGCATTTGATACTATCTTACATGATCGAATCAATAAACTAGGCAAATAACTTAGATGGGGCTACTATAAGGTGGGTGCGTAGCTGGCTTGATAACCATTGTCAGAGTAGTTAACAGTTCACAATCCTGCTGGAAGGGCATAACAAGGTTCTTCAGGGGTCTGTTTTGGGACCAGTTCTCTTCAATATCTTCAATGATTTAGATATTGGCATAGAGTACGCTTACTAAAGGGTTGCAATTGCTTTGGAGGATAGGGTCACAATTAAAAAATGATGTGAACAAACTGGTGAAATGGTCTGAGATAAATAGGATGAAGCTTAATAAGGACAAATGCAAACTACTCCACTTAGAAAGGAACAATCATACAGAATGGGAAGTGACTTGTCTAGGAAGGAGTACTGCAGGAAGGGATCTAGGCGTCATAGTGAACCTCAAGTTAAATATAAGTCAACAATGTGATGCTGTTGCAAAAACATTCTGGGATGCATTAAAAGTGTGAGCAACACATGAGAAGTCATCCATTCTTCTCAGTGCTGATTAGACCTCAATTGGAGTATTGTGTCCAGTTCTGGGCACCACATTTTAAAAAAGTGAAATTGGGGAAGGTCCAGAGAAGAGCAACAAGAATGATTAAAGGTCTAGAGAATGAGCTATGAGGGGGAAAACAGAAGGAATGGGGCTTGTTTAGTTTAGAAAAGACTGACGGGACATGATAGTGGTTTTTGGGTACCTAAGAGTTATCAGGAGGAGAGAAAATTGTTCTTCTTGGCCTCTGATGGTAGGACGAGAAGCAATGAGGTTAAATTGCAGCAAGGGAGGTTTAGGTTGGACATTGGGAAAAATTTCTTTCAAGTGGTTAAACACTAGAATAAATTGCATAGGCAGGCTGTGGAATCTTCCATCAATGGAGATATTTAAGAGCATGTTGGACATACACTTGTCAGGGATGGTCTAGATCATGGGTTCCCAAAGTGGGGACATGCAGAAATTCCAGGGGGGGTGGGGTGCAAGGTGACCCAGCCACCCAAGCTTTGCTGCTATTGTTTTCGGACCCAGTTCCTTTTTCCCCCTCATTTTGCTGCTACTATTGGGGTGGGGTGTGATGCTGGAAAGTTTGGGAACCACTGGTCTAGATGGTGCTTGGTCCTGCCGGAGGGCAGGGAGACTGGACTGGATGACCTGAGGTCCCTTCCAGTTCTGTTCTATGTAAGAGTTGCACTCAGATCCATTTTACAAAAATATTTTAAGGTGGGGAAGACTTCCTATTACCATAGTGCTCAGGATTCTGAGTTACTTTGAAGCCCCATCGTTTTGGTGCTGTACATGTGCCTAACTTTACAAAAGTTTAATGCAGGGGTGGGGGGAACCTCAGGTCTGGAGGATGGATGCAGCCCCCAGCTTGCCTGGATCTGGACCTCAAGGCTCACAGCCTCCTTGCATTGGGGAGCTTGTGCTGGTGCTCCAGCCCCCCTGCTACTCCACCAAAAATCTAAGCTGCCCCTTTCCCCCCTCCCCCCCGGGCTCTGGTGTGCAAGGGGAATGTGAGGAATGTCTTTGCTTCTCAGTTGCGTGTCACGTCAGTAAGGATTTTTGTGTGGTCTTGGACTGGTTCTTCTGTGGGTTATTAGCCCTCACACCTGTTTAATGTAAGGACTAATCGGTAGTTTTGGTTTTGCTGGAACTATTCATGTAGAAACCAGAGTATGCCCAGAGCTATTATAGTGCTATGTATATAGGTAAAACTAATTTTGCTTGAGTGCAATTCCCTTACCTAAATAAAATACAAGATCTGCTTGAGAGGAGCCGAATGCTACAGTTTAGAAAAAAGGGGTGTGAATGGCTTACAACAAAGTATAAATGGAAAGATGCCAGTGGATACCTGGGCTGTTACTACCTATGGTAAGCTGCTAACATTCATAGAAGCATCCTAGAATACTTGATCTTATAGGAGGTATCTGAGCCTTTAGCTTTCATCTTTGGAAAAGTGATGCAAGTTAGGAGAGATTCCAGAAGAGAGTTCTTACTTTCCCTTTTCCAACCCAAGAAACTACAGACCAATCAGCTTAACTTCTGTGCCAGGGAAGATAATAGAGCAAATAATTAAAGAATTAATCTGTAAATATCTGGAAGATAAGGTGAGAGGTAACAGCCAGCATGGATTTGTAATAACAAATGTCAAACTAGTCTGCTATATTCCATTGATAAAGGAGAAGTGATAGAAAAGCATGAGATATGGTCTTGCATGACTTTATAAATTAGGGTAATACAACCTAGATTGGGCTACTATAAGGTGAGGTGCGTAACTGTCTGGATAACCATTCTCAGAGTAATTAGTTCAGTCCTGCTGGAATAGCATAACAAGTGGGGTTCTACAGGGATCTGTTTGGGACCAAGTCTGCTCAGTATTGGCAACGATTTAGATACTGGCAGATGACATCAAGCTGGGAGGTGTAGCAAGTGCTTTGGAGGGCAGGGTTAGAATTCAAACTGACCTGGACAAACTGGAGAAATGGTCTGAGGTAAGTAGGATGAAGTTTTATAAGGACAAATGCAAAGTGCTCCACTTAGGAAGGAACAACCAGTTTCACACAGAACTGGAAACGACTGTCTAGGAAGGAGTCCTGCAGAGAGGGAGTTAGGGGGTCAAAATGGGCCACAAGCTAAATGAGTCAAGCGTGACACTCGCAAAAAAAGTAAACTTTCTGGGATGCATTATAACTGGAGTGTTGTGAGCAAGTCAAGTTAATTCTGCTGCATTCTGCACTGATGAGGCCGGAGTATTGTCCCGTTCTGGGCACCACATTTCAAAAAAAGGTGAAGAAATCGGAGAAGGGCAACAAGGTCAGGTGGTTAAACTGGAATAAATTGCCTAGGGAGCTTGTGAAATCTTCATCACTGGAGATACTTAAAGCAGAGTGGCTAGACGCCTATCAGGGATGATCTATATTGGTCCTGCTGTGAGGACTATAGAAAGGATGTGGACACATTGGAGAGGGTCCAGTGGAGGGCAACCAAAATGATTAGGGGGCTGGAACACGAGACCTATGAGGAGAGGTTGAGGGATTTGCGTTTGTTTAGTCTGCAGAAGAGAATGAGGGAGGATGTGATAGCAGCCTTCAGCTTCATGAAGGGAGGTTCCAAAGAGGATGGAGAGAGGCTGTTCGCAGTATTGATGGATGGCAGAACAAGGAGCAATGGTCTCAAGTTAGAGTGGGGGAGGTCTAGGTTGCATATTAGGAAAAACTATTTGGCTGTCTACATTTGCAAGATATTTTGCGAAAAACCTTGCTGCCTGTCTACACTGGCTGCGAGTTCTTGTGCAAGAACACTGATGTTCTAATGTAAAAAAGTGCTTCTTGCGCAAGAACTTTGACGCTCCCGCTCAGGAATAAGCCCTCTTGCGCAAGTGGCAACATGAATTTCTTGCTCAAGAAAGCCGGATGGTTAAAATGGCCATCGGAGCTTTCTTGCGCAAGAGAGCGTCTACACTGGCACGGATGCTTTTGCACATCTCTTGCGCAAAAGTACATGCCAGTATAGACGCTTTCTTGCGCAAATACTCTTAACGCAAAAACTCTTGCGTTAAAGAGTATTTGCGCAAAATCTTGCCAATGTAGATGTAGCCTTTCACTAGGAAGGTGGTGAAGCACTGGGATGGGTTACCTAGGGAGGTGGTGGAATCTCCATCCCTAGGGGTTTTTGAGTCTTGGCTTGACAAAGCCCTGGCTGGGTTGATTTAGTTGGGATTGGTCCTGTCTTGGGCAGGGGGCTGGACTTGACCTCCTTAAGTCTCTTCCAGCTCTGATTCTGTGTCTGGACTTGACCTCTCGAGGTCCCTTCCCATTCTAGTGTTCTGCAATTCTAATAAGACAGTACTCTCCTTTCCCTTTTCATATTCAATAAATGAGCTCAAATGCATTTCATATCTTCCTGCAAGGGTGGGGGACCTTCTTTGGGTTGGGGGCCAGTTTGTGATGTGACGTATGGGAGGGAGGGGGCAAGAGTGGCCTGGGGGTGGGGGTGGAAAAGCAGGGTGGGGGGAGTGCAGGGCTGGAGCACCCATGGAGGCTCCTGTGTGTGTGGAGGGGAAGTGTGTGTGTGTGTGTGTGTGTGTGTGTGTGTGTCAGTAAAACCCACTGAAGATCAGCCTTTCTAAAGTGAAAATTGTGTATTGTGATGGCTAGTGAATAGAGCACTAAACTAGGAGCCAGAAGATCCTGGCTTCTATTCACCAAACTGCTCTCTGACCTTGGGAAAGACTCTCTTCTATGCCAGTCTTATAGATGGAAACTTCCAAGAATGATGAAAGGAAGGATTTATGTATACATGGCAGGGCAAATCCTCAAGTCTACTTAATACCCTTACTGACTCCAATGAGAGTTTAAACCCCTTCTCCCCCACCAACCCTCCAACCAGAATTTTGCCTGATATATTTAATAATTTGTCTAGAGGTGACAATTGGAGCTCTGCCTGCCAGCTGAGGGCAGTACAGTATATGAACCCTAATGGGCTTGAATGCCTTAATGATAAATGCCCTCTCAGAAGTTACAAACATGAATCTGAATCAGTTTGGGATGAAATAGATTAAATAACAGGCTGACAGGTCTTAATAGAAAGTTTCTTACACAAGACTCAGGGAGTGGTTTAGAGATGTGGAACTAGTGACACCTAATGGCCAGTGTGAAAAGGAAACTAACGAAAAGGGGAGAAATTTCCCCAGTGAAATCTTGAATTAGGGCATTTTGAAAAACATGCTCTGTAACCTTCCAGAAGTTCTAGTCTTTAAAATGTGTCCTTTAAAGGTTTCTCTTCAGAGAACAGGCCTACTAGCAACAGAGTGTTACCAACACCAGCCTGCCAAAAAACTCAACATTCCTGGGGGAGTCACTGCTAAGGTGAATTATTTATTCATTCATGGGCCTTTAACTGAGATTTCCAAAAACAATTAGGGCTAGATTTTCAAACAGCTCGGCATAAGCAGCTGCCCAAAAGACACCTGTATTCTAACTTGTCTAGCACTGTTTTGTAAACCTGCGGGCAGATCCTCAACACATGTAAATGGACACAGCTGCATGATGGAACTATGATACTTTATGGTGGTAATGGGCAAGCTGCGTATGACCCATGTGACATTTTATTTACCATTGCCTATGTGCAAGGTTGCTGGTTTCCAGGCCTGTAGTTTTTTCCCTAACAGTATTACTAAAGTGACACGCAGGTAAAGCAAGAACACATGAAGTGAGGTGCATGCTGATTGCACACAACATTGATTCTGAGCACTGCGCAATTCCTCCGCATCCAATCAAAGCGTTGCTATGGTTCAATCGGCACCCCCTGCAAATTGGAGGTACACAAGCACAATTAGAAAAACGTCCCTATTCTGGGAGACTGTCTTGGTTATGACAATCTTGTGACCCATTGAGATGACGGGATGCTCATACGGCCCTCTCACTAGCTGAGGTTGCCCATCAGTGTTGTGCCACCTTAGGATCGGCCTGTACTTTGCATTGATTGAAGTGGTGGCTTTTGTGATGTGGATGCTTGTTCAACAGAATCTGGGATGAGCCCACCAAATCCTTTACACTGTCATTGATAACTTTGAATTAGTCCTGGTCAAAATCAAATCAGTGACTTATAGACGTTCCAATGTTATGTGTGCACAGATGAGAACCCAGAATGTTCCTGGTTAGTAAATATTTACAGGTGACTAAAGAAGCAAGTTCTTTAAGCACTAGTTATAGAATTCCAGCAATAGATGAATTTTTTCCATGTTTTTGTTTTAAATCATACATTTGATGTTTAACAAATACTGTAGTAATAATTCTGCAAAGTCTTGCTTCTCAACCTGGAGATTGCTAGCGGGTCTCGGGGGCGTGCACAAACCTTCCCTTTCATTTTTGCCAGAAGGGGGGAGGGGGAGGAGAAGAGTTATGTAACTTTGTGTAACAGGGCTACAGTATAGAAGTTTTGAATCCTAACCAAGGGTAAGTTTCAGCTGACAGGAAATTTTCCTTTGGCAGATTGTCCCCCTTTCTAACCTGCATAATCAGGAATGATGTTTAATGATCCCTGGCTTTAGGTGGAAAGTACGTGATTTTAGTTCCATTCATTGCATCGGAAGGTTGGAGAATGATTGGAGCAGGGGCATTGAATCTGCCTCCCTGTGCTGCAGGAGCAGCCTAGTCTTCTCATCCTGCAAACACTGAGCTAGGTGCTTAATTTTAAGCACAAGAGTAATTCTAATGATCTAGATGGGGGTCATCTGTCGCAAGAATCTGCTGGACATTTTCTGTTTCGTATGTTTTACTGTTCCAATGTTTTTCAGAGATGATGTCTGGTGCTTGCAGGAGAAGGGGAGTGGGCTCAGCCCCCTTCCAATCCTGTGTAAAAAATCCCTTCAATTTTAAGAATCGCGAAGGAAAGCAGTCAGGGCCGTGCATTGCAGAGTTGGTTCTTGTTCTTCTCTGTGTCCCCCTACACCAGGGGTTCCCTACCTGGGGTATGTTTACCCCCAGGGGGTAGGAGAAGCTTGTCCAGGGGATAGGGGGAATATTTGGTAAATAACTAGATGATCCTAATGGAAACATTCCAGAAGCAGTCGTGTCAGTGACAAAAGCTGTGGATTCTAGAGTCTAGAATTTATTTCCTTTCATAGTGAATAGGGGGGACGGGAAGGTTTACTAAAAGCCAAGGGGGTACGGGGACCGAAAAAGGTTGGGGACCCCGCTCTACCCCCTCTAGTCCCAGGGCCACTGCGTAAATAACTAGATGATCCTAATGGAAACATTCCAGAAGCAGTCGTGTCAGTGACAAAAGCTGTGGATTCTAGAGTCTAGAATTTATTTCCTTTCATAGTGAATAGGGGGGACGGGAAGGTTTACTAAAAGCCAAGGGGGTACGGGGACCGAAAAAGGTTGGGGACCCCGCTCTACCCCCTCTAGTCCCAGGGCCACTGCCCATTGCCCATGCCCCTCTGCAGCCTACTCCCC